AGCCCTTCTATGACACTGTCCATTTCTAAAATCTTGTTGTTTATCTTTTGGATTTCTAATTGTTGTTTTTGTATGATTTCTAGTTGTGAATTTATTTTAGCGTTTCGTTCCTGTATTGTTTTCCTGAATTCTTCTATGTTTTGTCTGTATTTTCCATGAATTTGTCTGCTTTTTCCATGGATCTGTCTATTTTTTCCACATTTTTGTCTGCTTTTTGCTTCAACTCTTGGATAGCTCCGAATATTAGCGTTTTGAATTCGCTATCAGGTAGTTCTAGTGCCTTTTCTTCTACTGGAGTCATTGGTGTTTTATTTTGGATGACTACTGGAACCATCCAGTCCTTTTTTTATATATGTTTTGAGATTGTCTGCCGTATTCAGGACATTCAGTGGTTATTCTCATTTTTGATTTTAGATTTGCCCGTTTTGTCCTGCTTTTTTGTTTTCTTTGGTTATTTCTGGGCAGGTGGGCTGTTGTTCTTTGTTATTTGCTCGTCTGTGGGCACGATACTTTTCACCTCCTTCTCTAGTGGGCAGGGTCAGTCAGTCAGGTATGGTACAGCAGGGCAGGTCCAGCTGAAGGGGAGTTGCTGGGGTGGGTTGTTTATGGTATGTACTAGGGCCGACAGGGTGTTCTGGGAATCAGTGTGGGGCAGGTTCTGGTAGGCTGTGCCTGTGCTGCTTGGGGATGTGATGTTCACTGCATGGTGTTGGTAGGCAGGAAGATGGCTGGAGATTGTGATGTGTCGAGCTAAGATGGGTATAGGAAAGAGGAGAAAAGGAGAGAGGAACAGGAGCCGAAAACATACAAACAAAGAATGTAAGGGAGCTTGCTGTTGGAGTGGAGAGAGACTGAGAAATGAGCAAAAAAACAAAAAAGAAACAGGATAACAGAAAAAAGTGAATTAATGAAAATTAGAAAAAGAAAAGAAAATCCCCCAGGGATCCCACCTTTGCAGCTGTGAGGACTGGGAAAGTTGCTCCCAGGCCATGAAATACAGCCTGGCTAGAAGGGGTAGCGGTGTCACACAGCACCAGGTATTCAGAGGACAGGAAGAGAAGGTAAGTATAGAGAGACGAGAAACTGAGAAATGAAGAAAGACAAAAAGGGAAACAGAGAGAAAAGAAAAGAAAACTAAAAAACAAGAAAAAAGAAATGCCCCCAGGGATCCCTCTGTGTGTCTGCACAGATTAGGGGAGTAGCTCCAAAGCCGCACAGTACTGCCCGGCTAGAAGGGGCTCCCAAGCCAAGAAAAGGAAAAGAAAACAAAGAAATCAAAACAGAACAAATCAAAACAAACAAAAAAAGCCCCGGGGATCCCACCAGCATGGTAGTTGGGAAGTAGTTTCACAGTCGAGAGGCATTTCACAGCCTTTAAGGAAGAAGGAAAGATGGCACAGGGAGACAGGTATTTGAGAGAAAGGAGGAGGAGGTGGTGAGAGGTATGGAAGAAATCAAAAGAAGTGGAAAAAAGCAACACCAGCAGCCAACAAGTGGCACTCAGAGAGCCGGCCAGTGCAGGCGGGTGGGATCCAAGCAGCACTGGGGTGAAGCCAGTGTTTCCTGGCCAAGAGACATTGGCTGCAGGAAGCAGAGGAGGCCAAATGGGGGTGAAGAAGGGTGGAGGGTGGGAAAGCGTATATTGCTGGTTACCAGTTGTTCTGTTTCTTGCCGGAAGCTCTGTGAAGCTGCTTTCCCATACCCCCTGTTCACTGATCTCCGGTAAGAGTCCAAGATGGCGGATCCATGCTGTGTTAGCTGATAGGGGATCTCTGCATGTATCTCTCCTCTCTCTCTGTTCTCTGTCAGTTTCTTATTCCATTCAGTGCTTGGCTGAGTTTTGTATCTCTTCACTTGATGCCTTTTTCCATATATTGATTTCTAGGTTCTCCATATTTTTAAGCTATTTAGATGGTGTTGCCCTAGTGGCTCAATGTTTAATTAAGTGCGCAAGGCTGCTAATTGAAAGATTGTCAGTTCAAACCCACCAGCAGCTTCAAAGGAGAAAGACCTGGCGATCTGCTCCTGTAAAGATTACAGCCTAAGAGACCCTATGGGGCAGTTGTACTCTGTCACATGGGATTGCTATGAATTGAAAATTGAGTTGATGACACCTAACAACAACAGACATAAGAGCAAAATGTTCAGAATACACTGTAGATTATGTGTATATTGTAGTCAGCAAGATAGGTGTAAGATTTATTGGATCAGGGTTTTTCAACCTTGGCATGCTTGCCATTTTGTCCAGAAAATTCCTTGTTGTGGGGAGCTTTCCTGTGCATTGTAGAATATTTAATAGCATTGATGGTCTCTACCCACTAGATGCTATTATTACCTTACCCAGTCATGGGAGCCAAAAATGTCTCCAAACACTGGCAATTCTCTTATGGGAAAGGAGGGCAAAATGGACCACACTTGAAAACCTCAGTGTTAGATAAATGATAAAAAGGAGAACAATTTTCTTAGAAAAATTTTGTAATACAGTCAAAACTCCCCCCAAAAGTTCAAATGCACATGCTAATATTTATGATTTAGAAGTATAATGTTCCACAGAAGATTAAACACAGAGGTTTAGAGATGAAAAGCAATTCAATACCCAGAAGAAAAAAAATGCCTTTTAACACAGAAGTTTGTCTATCATACAGGCCAAACATGTCCTGAGCAATGTACTAGAATGAAGAGTGCTATCATTTTAACTCCACCTTCTTCAAAACACCTAATTCTGCACTTTAGGGTTTGCAACACTCTGGAATCCATCCTTTAGAATCACCACACCTGGGACTGAAATACACAAGAGTCAGGCATTTCAACACCCTCCCCTCCCACTGAACAGTCAATCATAATTTCTTCCATAGGTTCAATTATTATTAACTTGTACCTTATAATCTATTTAGATTTCATTTGTAAGTGAAGCAGCTCACCTAATTAAAACATGTAAAAGACCCCGAAGATGATGGTACCAACTGACATGATTTTAGGGATTATTTTCATATCTCAAATTTGTATTGGGTTCACGGGGAACTCGTTGCTCTTCACGTTATATATGTACACCTTCTTAGTTCAACTTCATCTGAAGAAGCCCTTAGATACGACTTCATACACCTGACATTGGCCAATGTTATGACCATCATGTTCTGTCTGATTCCATATGTTATGGCATCTTTTGGAAAAAGAAATTTTATGGACGATGTTGGTTGTAAGGCAACAATATACATTTACGGAGTTGCCTGGGGTCTTTCCATCTGTACTACCTCTCTCCTGAGTGTGTGTCAAGCCATCACCATGAGCCCCAGTTATTCTAAATGGGCATGGCTTAAATCTAAAATCTCCACATGCATTTTTCCCTCTTTCCTTTTCTTCTGGCTCATCAACATGCTGATCTACATCAGGATCGTCACAAATATGGGAACCAATAGCAATTTCACTGTTCTTGGGTCTGGTTATCTTCAAGAATACTATAAAGATAAGCAGTTTGAATACGACCTTTCAGTGGCACGTGTAAGTACCATGGTGATTCCAGATCTGCTCTTTGTGGGCCTAATGATCTGAACCAGTGTCCACATGGTGACTGTTCTCTTCAGACATCACAGGAGAGCCCAGCACGTCCACAGCACCAGCCTCTCTTCTGGGCCATCTCTTGCAAACAAAGCCACCCACAGCATCCTTTTTCTGTTAAGTTGTTTTGTTTTCTTTTATTTCTTAAACAACTGTCTTTCTGTTTATTCAACTTATGGACTTCAGAAAAACCTGAAACTGGAAAGCATTACTGGGATTATTTCATCATGTGACCCAATGATCTGCCATTTCATGCTGTTGAAAAATAATAAAATTATTTCCAAACTTACTTCTTACCTTTCAAAGATGAGAATTATGTTTTCTCAAAGAGCACTCAATGATCAAAAATCACACAACTTCCTCCTGCAATACAAGAGTCTCTATAATGATTTACGTGAGCTGACAAAAAAGTCATGATACTAGAAATGTTTTTAGTTTAATTCTGAGCCACTGTTAAACTACAATTAAATTGAAGGAAAGCATTGTCAGTACACAATCATTTTAATAAATTATTACAAGGCATACAAAATAAGTTTCATAAGAATATATACAATATGTAACCATGTATTAATTATAAAATTATGCATAGTAATATTACATGGATTTTATAGGGAAGCATACACGTAGGGAAAATTAAGGAAAACATAAATATGAGAAACATATAATTCAGGATAGTGGTTACCTGAGTGGGATATGGGAAGGGTGCCCAGAAGGCTTCACCTACATTTCTAATGTTTTAAATACAAACTAAACTCTGGCATATGCTTTTTCAAAAATGTATTATTATATAAATGTTATAAATCGGAAATGTTTTATGCTGGATTAAAAAATAATAAAACCATATTTCTTCTTGTCTTGATGTAATGTTAGATTTTCTTCCAAATTTCAGTAATTTATTTACCTCAACTTTAGCTCAGGTTATATGTTCATGAACCATCACTATGGTCACTATGGGTTTTTGAAGTGTTTCCTTCCAAAAATACTGGCCTAGGTTCTTGGAACCTATCCTCTTGAAGAAAACAAATTAAAATGATGGATAAAATATGTTTTTTATCTCACTTAAAGCTTCAAAGCACTGACAAGTCATATAAAGAACTGCTTGGCAAAAATCTTAGCAAAAGTAGGAACCCAGAGAGGCAAACATTAGAATCCCTTATTGATTTTTATTCTTAAGGGCTCTTGTTAATGCAGGCAAGGTTATAAATCCAGGCATAGTTCAAGTTTGGGAGGTTCCTCAAGACCACCCATAGGTTAACTGATTCATAAAAGTACTCACAGAATTAAGCAAAGCCATTATACTCATGATTACAGTTTATTACAGCAAATGAATATAGATTAAAATCAGGAATGGAAAAAGATGCATAGGGCAGGGCAGCATACAGGAAGAGTTCCTAGTGCAGACTTTCCAGTTGTCCTTTCCCAGTGGAGTCATGCAGACATTAACTATTTCTCTCAGTAACAATGTGTGGCAACAGGTATGGAGTATTGCCAAAGAAGGAAGTCACCTGAACCTTGGTGTCCAGTGTTTTTATTGAGGGTCAGTCACATAGACAACACTGACCATCTGTGTGGCTGACCTTAGTCTCCAGGTCCTCTAGAGGTTGAGAAGATACCACACAGCCTGTGACACCATCATAAATCATATTGTTATCATAGATTATCAGACATGACCCAATCCTCACCGTAAGTCACATTGTTGTCATAGGTTATCTGGTGTGATCTAAAGCCCCCAGGTAAACAAAGACACTCTTATCAGGCAGAATATTCAAGGGATCAGGAGTTGCTTACCAAGACCTGGGAGAAAATGGGCAAACTTTTCTTTGAGCAAGGTTAATCCTTCATGGCACTCTGAGTATCTGTCTAAGTCATGGGAACTAACTTGGCTGCCTGAGGGAGGACACGAGGTAAGGGTCCCTTTCACTGAGGCTCCTGTAGAACAACTCCAGGGCCTGGTCCCCTTTGTTCTTCACCATGCTTAACAGGGTCTCGTTCTTCCTCTGCCGTGTCTGTGTCTGCTGCACCCGCTCTTTCTCATTCTCAGTGAGGACTTCTCTGTCCTGAAGATCATCCAGCACCCCATTCAGGTCTCCCATCCTGTCTCGGAGTTGCCGGTGGTGCTCCTTCACAAAGGCTGCTCCTGGATGGGAGACGGGGTTACAGACTCAGAGAGGAACATATCAGTTATGGGATCCAGGACCTATCCCCACCCAAAAGTCATTTATCTAGTCTGGGGATATTGTTGCTTGTCTTACACTGACACACTCACAAGGTAAATAGTCCATCAACAGTGGTCCATGAGTTTAGGTGCATTCAGTAAATGTGTCTTCCTTATTCCCTTTCTTTCCTCTATAAGATTTTACAGCCACTCCTTTCCTAGTTTTTGTTGTTTATTTAAACCCTAGACTGGAATCTATATTACCATACATGCATGTATTCATCTCTATAACAATCTGACAAACATCGTCAAGTCCATAAATTGTCAGAAACTGTGCATGATGCTAGATGTATGGCAATGGATTAAGCTGGTTCCCTGCCCTCAAGCCTTTTCTGACAAATATGTGGAGGAAGAAATTTAACTGGATAACAACACAGGGAAACAGAGACACCCTGGATAGAAAACATAAGATTTTTCCATCATGCAGATGCAGGGATTATATTGGCTCCTGTATTTAATACATTTGTAGCCTTTGCCAAGCCATTTCACTTCCTTGCATCTGAGTTTCTACTATTTATGTACGGTGGTGGCTCTCAAACCTTTTGTTAACCACAATGGAGAGATGATAAATAACCATTCATCTGGGGCTATAATCCAAACAGCTTACTAAAGTGATGAAAATTTCTTTTAATTCTGATATTTATCTTGAAAAATTCCTGGAAATTTACATTCAAGCCAATGTGACACCTTGAGGAGTCTTCTCTTCATTGGAAGGTGTCAGAATATGCTCTTTTTTCTCCTGGGTGGTCTCTTGTGAGATGTGGGGCTTGTTATTTTGACGGTGTGAAGATTGAGTATGAGGCCAACATTATGGAAGGTAGAAGGGAGACATGGAGCCATAACACATCTGTGTGATATCGCAACCATCTTGTGATCCAATAGATCAGCCTCATACTAAGTCAGTTCCATCTCTTGCCCTTTCACTAACTTGAGCCAGGATACTCTATTTATACTTTTAGTCAAATGAAATTGAACTGTCATTTGTGACACAAGTGGTTTCACAGATACACAGGACATTGCAGATGGCTGCCTTGTGTGAGTTTTAAAATGAATATGGAGATGAGGGCATCAGAAGGAAGTATTTGAAGACCTGGATTCACTTATTACCAGATGACAGACTTTATGTCTCTGAGTATTGAGCCCTTATTTTAAATAATTTCTTTCTCTGTTACATACTAATTCCAGTTACATTAAGCAATGCCCTGGAAATGGCAGCTTTTGTTTTTTAAAACAGTCTCCAATCCCAGTTCCCTGATTTCTATCTCAGGACAATGCACAATCAATCACACACACAGTTTGGAGGAGTTAGCAAACTGTTATCCACCTTTCATAGTTCCCCTTTGCCTTCAGGCCAAAGTCCACAATATTCATAACATCTTTCTTGGACTTTCACTACTGGGTTCTTGTCTGCCTCTCTAGTCTTATGTTTGCTTTGTTCCCCTAATAATTTATGTTCCAGTCATACAGAACTACTTTTACTTATAGTTCCCCACATGCAAGATTTGCTCCCCAATAATTTGTTGTTGCATGCTCTTCTGTCTGCATAGTTAATGCTAACACCCTCACTTAAGTAAATCATACTCATTGTGTTTGTCTCTGAAATTAGTTAGTCTTTGTAACTGACAAGGATGGAAGCAATGAATCCTTGCTCTGTGATATGAGGCCACTCAAAGACATCCTCAAATCAGACACATTCCTCTGGCTTTTAATGAAAACATTTCACTGACCTGAGAAAGTGGGTGGGGCAGATGCGGCAGCAAGCTGTAGATCCACTAGGAAAGAGGGAAATTGGAGGATGATGTAAAGATCAATCATAAACCATTATTTATCTTTTCTAGTCTTTGATACAACCAACTGAAGTCATTTTAATTCCATTCTATAAGCTAAGGATCTTGGAACCTTAATATACTTCTGGAGCCCTGTTAAGTAGAGGCTCACTCACTGTCCATTAAGAAAACTTATCAGAGGAAGGAAGAAATTTTTCCAAAATTCTTTCAGTTTCTATTTGCAAGTCAATGTGTTAGGAAATATGACGGCTACAAAAAATTATATCACACTGTCCTACATAAACTTAAAGTCTATAGAAAGGCATTTTAGAAGTGAGATATTGGAGGTGGAGCCAACATGATGTTGTAGACAGAAGCATCATCCCATCCCTCTACAGCAAAGACCCAAAAAAACTAAGTAAAACAGATGCAAACATCAGTCTTGGAACCCTAAGCATGAAATGAAGGGATAAAGAACTAGATCAAGCACCAAATGGAAGAAGAAACTGACAGAGAACAGAGAACAAGGAGAGCTACGTAGTGGAGGTCCCCTACCAGCTAATGCAGCACAGCTTCACCATCTCAGAGCACAGTCAGCAAAGACCCCAGACAGGGAGTATGAGAAGGCAACTTCACAGAGCTCCCAGTAGGAGACAGAGCACTCGGTAACCAGAGATACAACTTTCCCACCCCTCACCCTTCTGCTCTGTATGTTGCCTCTGTCGCTTTCCAACAGGCCACGGTCATTCGGCTGGAGAGACACTGGCTCACTGTCACCCCAGGTTCCACCCTGTCTCCACTTGCAGGTTCCTTCAGTGCCATTTTTTTCTCTTGCCCTTTCTTCCTTTTCTTTCTCCCTCCCACCTAGCCCCCTGCACTTCCTCTGCCTCTTCCTGATGGGCCATGCTGCATTGCCCAGTGAGAGAGACTACCAGCTCATCACCACCCCAGTTCTGCATGGCCCTCAACAACTGGTTCCCTCAGCACCATATTCTGTTTGTTTCTTCTCTCTCTTTCCCTTACTTTCTTCCTTTCTCCTTCCAACCCAGCCACATGCGCCATCTCCGTCCCTTCTTGATGGGTTGTGTTGCACCACTTGGCTAGAAAGCCCCAAACACACAGCCTCCCAAGGTCTGTCCCACCCCCACCAGCCAGCTCCCTCCACACCACCATTTTTTTTTGCTATTGTTTCTCTCTTGTTTTTCTCCCTCTCACCTAGCTCTGCACATCAAGTCCTCCCCTTCCCTCCTGCCTCTCTACACTGCCTGCCTAGTGCCACACCACCGTGTGGCACCTGTGTGGGCCTCTGGATCCCTGGACCCATCCTCGTGCTGCCCAAGGCCCAGCCCCATCAATGCCACACCCTCAGGAGGCACTGGCAGGGACATCCAGACTCCCAGACCCCACCCTGTGCCACTCCCCCCATCCCCACCATACTGAATACCACATCTACATGTGGGACTGGTGTGGATCTCTGAATGCCTAGTCTCACTCTTTCGCACCACCCCCAGAACAGCCTCGAGAGGAAAAGAAACAAAAAATACGTATATCAGCACCCCCCCCAAAAAAAGCACTACAAAATGACAGCAATAAACTCACATCTATCGATAACGACATTGAACTTAAATGCACTCGTAAAGAGACAGAGAGTGACAGAATGGATTATAAAAACATGAGCCATCAATATGCTGTCTACAAGAGACATACCTTAGAAACAAAGACAAATATATTAAAAATCAAAGGATAGAGAAAAGTGTATCAAGTAAACAGCAACCAAAGAAGAGCAGTAGTGGCAATACTATTCTCAGATAAAATAGACTTTAAGACAAAATCCACCATAAAAGACAAGGAAGGACATTATATAATGATAAAAGGGGCAACCCACCATGATGACAGAGCCATAATAAATATCTACACACTCAATGACAGCACTCCAAAATACATAAAATGAACTGTAACAGCACAGAAAAGAGAAATTGATAAGTGCACAATAATAGTAGGAGACTTCAACACAACACTCTTGGTAAAGGACAGAACATCTAGAAAGAAACTAAGCAAAGATGCAGAAAATCTAAAGGCCACAATCAACCAACTTGACCTCATAGATATACGTAGAACACTCCATTCAACAGCAGCAAAGTATAGATTCTTTTTCAATGCATATGGAACGTTTTCCAGAATAGACCACATCTTAGGCCACAAAGCAACCCTCAACAATATTCAAAACAATGACATAGTACAAGGAATTTTCTCTGATCACAGTGGCATAAAAATAGAAATTAATAACAGGAAGAGCAAGGAAAAAAAAAAAAAAACCAAATACATGGAAACTGACTAACACCTTGCTTAAAAATCACTGGCTAATAGAAGAAATCAAACGGGGAATCAAAAAATTCCTAGAATCAAATGAAAATGAAAACACATCATACCAAAACCTTTGTGACACAGCAAAGGCAGTGCTCAGAGGTCAATTTACAGCAATGGATGCACATATCAAAAAAGAAGAAAAAGACAAAATCAAAATGTTAGCTTTATAACTCAAACAAATAGAAAGAGACAACAAAAAGAAGTCCACAGCCACCAGAAGAAAGGAAATAATAAAGATCAGAGCAGAAATAAATGAAACAGAATATAAAAACAATATAAAGAATCGACAAAACCAAAAGTTGGTTGTTTGAAAACATTGACAAAATTGACAAACCATTGGCCAAATTGACAAAAGAAAAAAAAGGAGAGGAAGCAAATACTCCAAATAAGAAATGAAATGGGGGACATTGCAACAGATCCAACTGAAATAAAAAGGATCATTACAGAGTACTATGAAAAACTGTACTCCAACAAATTTGAAAACGGACAGGAAATGGACAAATTTCGAGAAACACACTACCTGCCTAAACTGACACAAACTGAGGTAGAAAATCTGAACAGACTCATAACAAGAGGAGATATTGAAAGGTAATTTAAAAAAAAAAAAAAAAACAACAAAAAAAAGTTCTGGGCCAAATGGCTTCACTGGAGAATTCTACCAAACACTCAGAGACGAGCTCACATCAGTACTACTCAAACTACTGCAGAACATAGAAAAGGAAGGGATACTTCTGAACTAATTCTATGATGCCAGCATAACCTTGATATGAAAACCAGGCAAAGACACCTCCAAAAAAGAAAACTACAGACCAATATCTCTCACAAATAGAGATGCAAAAATTCTCAACAAAATTTTAGCCACAGAATTCATCATCATATAAAAAAAAAAATACACCATGACCAAACGGGATTCATACCAGGTATACAAGGATGGTTGAACATTAGAAAATCAATCAATGTAATCCACCACACAAATAGAACAAAAAAAGAATCACATGATCATATCAATTGACACAAAAAAGGCAATCGATAAAATCCAACACCCATTCCTGATAAAAACTCTGAACAAAATAGGAATAGAAGGGTAATTCCTTAACATAATAAAGGGCATCTACACAAAACCAACAGCCAACATCATTCTCAATGGAGAGAGGCTGAAAACATTCCCCCTGAGAACAGGAACAAGACAACAAAAACAAAACCCATTGAGTCAATTCCATCTCATAGTGACCCTATAGGACAGAGTAGAACTGCCCCATAGGGTTTCAAAGGAGCACCTTGTAGATTCAAACTACTGACCTTTTGGTTAGCAGCCAAGCTCTTAAACACTGCACCACCAGGGCTCCCAGGAATAAGACAAGGATGCCCTTTATCACCACTTCTATTTGACATTGTGCTGGAAGTCCTAGCTAGTGCAATAAGGCAAGAAAAAGAACTAAAGGGCATCCAAATTGGTAATGAAGAAGTTAAACTGTCCCTGTTTGTGGATGATATGATAAGATACTTACAGAACCTAAGAGACTCCACTAGCAAACTACTGGAACTAATAGAAAGATTCAGGAGAGTAGCAGGATAGAAGATAAACATACAAAAATCTGTTGGATTCCTGTACACCAATAAAGAGAACTACAAAAAGGAAATCAGGAAAACAATAACATTTATAATAGCCCCTAAGAAAATAAAATACTTAGGAATAAATCTAACCAGTGACGTAAAAGATCTATACAAAGAAAATTACAAAACACTACTGCAATAAACCAAATGAGACCTATATAAATGGAAAAACATACCATGCTCATTTATAGGTAGACTCAACATGCTGAAAATGTCAATTCTACCCAAAGCAATCTACAAATGCAATACAATCCTGGTCCAAATACCAACAGCATTCTTTAGTGAGATGGAAAAACTAATCATTATATGGAAGGGAAAGAGGCCCCAGATAAGTTAAGCATTAGTGAAGAAGAATAAAGCTGGAGGGGCAAAATGGCGCTCTAGGCAGAAGCACCACGCTGTCCCTCCACAGCAAAGATCCAAAAAACTAAGCCA